ATGTGCAAACAAGTTTCGCCAAGATTATCTACCAGGAGTAATTGCTTAGCATGTTCAGTCTACAAAATCTACATTGGCAGAATATGAATCAATCTTGATTGTAGCAGATGAAGCAACAGATGCCCAAGATAACTGTTCTGCACATTTTATTTGTACCTGGGAACTGGACAGACCACGAGCTGCCTGTTTTTCAAACAGAGTCTGTTCTCTTGCGTGTCAATTTTTCTACTGCGGCAAAAGCTGTAGTAAGTACTGTCATTTACTACGGCTTAGAATTTAACAAGATCTCAGCATTTCTGCCTGATAATGCAATGTATATGTGCAAAGCTTTCTCTGATGTACTCCGTGGAATGATGCCCAATGCAATTCATGTCACCTGCAATGCACACATTCTTTAACAAGTGACATCTAACACACACATTTCCCTAATGTGGATAGTCTGGTTTCCTCTTTTAAATGTCCAGGCTATGAGCTTCGATACAGGCAGTCCATCGGCAATGGTACTTCCACCAGAGCCAGCATTTACAAGGTGGAATTTGTGGTTTAACACAGTTTGTTATCATGCAAAGAATATGAAGTACTACCAGCAATTTGTGTGCAAGGAGCTTGAAATCATACCCAGCACACAGTGCATGATTAAACTTTGTGATCTATTAAGACAGGGCAACATTGAAGATCAAGTTTGTGCTGAAAATGTGATCTGATTCATGGTGTTTCTAACATGGTTTGAATGTCATCATGCTTTGATCCACCAAGCACACAAATAGCTGATGGATTTGGTAAGTAGCATTGAAGACATGGCATCACAACAACGTTCAAACTGTCAATGTTAAAACCAGAAGAGACAAGAACTGTTCCAGGCAATAGCTACAAAATTGAATCAATACTACAAGTACATTCAGTCACTGCCATTGAAGTTTAAACAACTGGCTGCCTCCTTTTTCAGTGCTGTTCACATTTTTTACCCCAATCAGGTGCCTTTTCTGAGTTTTGACCCTCAGCTACTGAAATCAATCCCTGGATGGCAGAAAGAGCATGACAAGGAATATGCTGCTTACATGAACTTTGTCAAAGAGTGCCAGATACTTTTGACTGTAACTGTATTCTGGAACTCTGTTTCTGATTGGTTTCCACATCTCTACAATTTGGCAAAATGCTGCCTCCCATTCCAACCAATTCGGTGGACACAGAATTGCAATCTCAGTATATGGACAAGTGTTCACACCACAGAGACAGAGGATGTCAGCTGCAACTGCCGGTGGATGCTGCATGCCAGCATTCAGCAACTAACATGAATTGTTTCTATCAAGGTTAGCTTTATTTAGTAATATTAAACATTTTGTAGACTGCTAATAACAAATTATGATGATATTCATTACAATTCATATTGTGTATGCATTTATATTCATAATATATTTAAATTTAGATTTAAATTTAATACTTAGATTTATAATAATGAAGTAAGTTATTTGGTATTTCCACAGACTTTTCTATTTAATTATGCCATGCTTTTTGCCTCTTGGCTAATCATCAACAAGGGGCAGGGTAGCCAGGGCACCTTGGCCAATCAGCAGCAAGGGGGGCTCATTAAAATACTGCAAAATAGACTCTGCAGGCAGTGACACACCCACAAAAATCCCTTTGTCTCACCGCAGTTTCTGTAGGTCCCTACTTATGAGGAGAGGCTGGGGGAACTAGGCTTATTTAGTCTGGAGAAGAGAAGACTGAGAGGAGGATTTAATAATAGCCTTCAACTACCTGAAGGATGGTTCCAAAGAGGATGGAGCTAAACTGTTCTCAGTGGTGGCAGAACAGAACAAGGAGCATTGGTCTCAAGTTGCAGCAAGGGAAGCTTAGGTTATATGTTAGGAAAAACTTTCTTTCTATTAAAGCACTGGAACAGGCTACCCAGAGAGATTCTAGAATTGCCATTCTTTTAAGACCCAGCTGGACAAAGTCTTGGCTGAGATGATATAGTTGGGAATGGTCCTGCTGTGAGCAGGAGGTTGGACTAGATGACTTCCTGATAAAAGTAGATGCTAATGCTGCTACATGTATGAAAAGCCAGCCTGCTACAGGGCAAAGGAAATAATCTTTTACCCATGATTTTTAAGTGCCAAACAGCAGCCTGTTTGCTGGACAACAGGCAAGAATGTATAAACTGCCATTTACTAGGTCAGACTTCAGGTCCATCTTGCCCAGTATCCTATATCATACAGTGACAGACAGTGGATGCTGAAAAGGAGCGGGAACAGGGTATGACCAGGTTTTTTTCCACTGTTCCTCTCCCACGTGCAGCCTCTGATAGGGTCTCTAGGAAGTTCTGATTCTGAGGCTGTACCCCTACTTCTCATGCTCAATGGCTACTAATTAACCTTTCCTTCAAGAATTTATCCAATCCCTTTCTGAATCTGGCTAAACTGTCAGCTTTCACATCTTGGGGCAATGAGTTCCACACTTAAAATGCACACAGTGTGAAAAAGAATTTCCTTTTATTAGTTTTAAGCTTAGTACCTACCAGTTTTATTTTATGACCCCTAGTTCTTGTATTGTGATAATAAATCCCTATTTACTTTCTCTTCACCATTTAGTACTTTGGGCCATGTGTACACAACATGGGGGTTAAGTCTCCCTAAATTGAAGTGGTGGCTTTTTAAAAACACCGCTTCAGTTTAGGGCAAAGTAAATCCATGTCATGCACACCCATGTCAGAGCCCAATCCTTACCTGCCTCTCCAGCGATGGGGAGTGGAGAGCAAGCTGCTGTCAGGCAGAGCGGTCCCTGAGCTGGGGGTGGTGGGGGGGGCTGGCGCTTCCCTCCATGGAAGCGGCACCCCCCCGGCAGCACTCGCCCGCAGGCACCCGGCTCGGGCAGTCCCGGGGTGCACTGCAGCCATGGAGGGAAGCACCAGGCCCCCACGCAGCTCAGGCAGGCAGGAAGTCTCTGGGGGGGAAAAAAAGATCAGGCTTGCCACTTTTTTTTTCCTTCTGTGGAGCCTGCCTTCCCAGGCTGCTGCCAGCTGCCTGCACAGTCTGCCTCCACAGCCCCTGAGCCACACGGCGCCTGGTGCTTCCCTCCACGGCTGTAGGATAAGAAACTAAAACTCCTCAGAGGTGTTTTACTTTGCAGCGGCCCAGTCATTTGCTGTGTCCGAAAGTCATTTAAGGCGCATTATGCTGCTGAATATGCTACAGAGGCTGGAATTAACGTGCAATATGCCACTGAATGTACAAACAGCAATGCCATTAAAGTGGTGCAAAAGACATTTAACCCACTTTAAACCCACTTTAAAGTGTCATCTACAAACACCCTTGTAAACCCTTTTCATGTCCCCTTTCATGTCAAGTGTATCTTTTCTAAACTGAACAGGCCTAGTCTTTTTAGTTTCTCCTTATGTAGAAGGTCCTCCATACCACTAACCACGCTTGTTGCTCTTCTCTATACCTTCTTTAGTTCTTCTATATCCTTTTGGTGGTGTGGGGACAAAACTGGGCAGAGTATTCAAGGATGCACCATAAAGGGTCATGATGCTTTCTGTTTTGTTTAAATTTCCCTTGTAAATAATTCCTAACATTTCGTTTACCTTTTAACAGCTGCTGAGCACTGAGCAGATGTTTTCGGTGAAGTGCCCACAATGACTCCCAGATCTGTTTTCTATGTTTTGTATGTAATAACAGCTAACTTAGAGCCATCATAGGGGAGGTTTAGTTTGGATTATTTTTGCCCATCTACAACACTTTACACTTTGAATTTTATCTGCCATTTAGTTGCCCATTCTTGAACGTAATTTGTTCTAGAATATAATTGAACTATATTTGTCTGGGGTTTGCATATTAAACAAAAAATTGGACACAAATGTTTCTTCTTGCCTGTTTCAGCTGATTCAACAGGAGAGCCCCTTCCAAAATGAATATGCATTTTTTATTTATTATTTATATTACGGAAGTGCTGAAATCACTCATGATCAGGGATTCTTCTGTACTATTTTCAGTTATTTAATTGCCAAATATTGTTAGTTTGATATTTTGCAATAGCTAAAATGATTGCTAATACTTGGAATTATTTCACTTGTACAGTTGTTGTCCTTCCTTTGCATTTTGATGGCCTTGCAATACTATGATCGATTTATTTTTCTGCTTTCTTGTCTTATTTAGGAAATATGTTTGAGATTTCTTAATTAATTAGAGCAAAGACTGTAAATGGCCTCCCATTATTTCACCTGCAGTTTAATAAATATATGTATAAAATCCCTCTCATATTTTGACACACTAAAACCTTACAGGATAGCACTAAATGAAAAATGCTGAGCCTAAACCTAAAGGCCTTTTTATTGAGTGATATTTTCAGATAGCAGTTCTATCACAACACATATTCACTCCACACTCTGACTCATCCCTTTCACAAACTTTTTTTTTATATCCAATGGTAAACTCCATTGTAATGGGATTAGTCAACCACATGACCATCTTCACAATCACAATAATCACCCCTGTAGCTTTCTATTCACAATCAATCAGGATGCAGACATGTGCAATGAAGGTCAGGCTCAGCACACTCTTTGCCTAATCATTCTCCAGACCGGCCTACAAGTAGCTGACCGCAGTGTGAGAAAACAGACCAACCGTTATTAATGATCTGACTTCACATGCTGTTAAAATGCTGAAAGTAATCAGCTTCTGTTTAAATACCTTTTGGATTAACCATTTTTACTGTGGGGTCTTGGTTTTAGCACTGTGTTTTTAAAAACTTATTTTTGAAACCATTTGGATATCTGAACAGTCTCAGTGGTGGCAAACAGACAACAAAGAAAGCAAACAGAACACTCCAGGCCTGAAAGTTTGCTGAACTTTTGAACTAAAGACTTGTGGAATATTAATTCTGAACCTCATTGCAATGGATTTCTGAAAGTTTATAGGGTTTACATGATTTATTAATAGAAAGATCTTCATTAGTGTTCCAGCATCCGTATTTCATTGCTGGGAATAATACATGAGGGCGAAATGGAATTTTTAACCTTTCCTTCAGAGAAGCACTGCTTTACTGAATTACTTGATTCCAGTAATGGAGAAGAAGAAAAAATGTTAGCATGTGAAGAAGATTTAGAGATGAATCCTTTTGATGGTTTGCCATATTCTTCCCATTATTATGAACTTCTGAAAGAAAGAGAAGAACTTCCAATATGGAAAGTAAAATATGCTTTCATGGAAATTCTGCTTCATAATCAAATTGTGATTGTATCAGGAGATGCTAAAAGTGGCAAGAGCTCCCAGGTGGGTATTAGAGAATATTTACATGTTCTGGTTACTTAATTTAATTTCTTGAATCTTTAATAGTGAGTATATTTTTCAAAAGCAAATGTCCTCCTTTTACTAATAGTATGGTAAATTATTAAAACAGAAATAATTATTTTAATTTACTGTTCATTATTCTTGCTGCTGTTTTTATATTTGTTGCAAAGATTTAGTGCTATGCTGTGATCCAGAGGCTTCTGGCAATACAGGGCCCCATTGTTTTGTGTATTGTACATAATGGTTCTGTTAAATGTCCCTTGCCCTAAGGAGTTTAGTAAAAACATAACAGTGGATCCTTTCAGGCATGCAGAGTTCTGTTGACCTTAGTGATGTTCTGGGTGGGCACAGGGACCCACACATTATAACATGAAAGATTGGGGCCTAAGCAGAAAAGGGAAATATGAATGGTCAAAGGAGAGTAATATGATCAAATACATTTGTACATATGATCAGATACATTTGTATATGCAATTTGTATATTTGTAGTACTTTTTTCCTGATAATCTAATTAAAATGGCTGTCAGGAAAGAGAATATGTCTTATAAGTAGTGGGATAAAGACAAATACTGAAGAGTTTCAGCCACTGAATTTTTTTCGGTATGCAATAATTAAAAAGTACCCAAAGCAAGAAGTGAAAGGTACTGTGTAGAGAAACATCAGACTCTTATTAATACACTCTCTGAAGAATATCTGTGTCCTTATCACATCGTAAGAGTCCTGTACTAAATACTCAGAAATGTCCCCTTAGAAAATTCTATAAAGCACTGGTGATTCTATCAGTATGTAGATCGTATTTTTCTCGTTTACCTGCATGGAATAGCCATCTGTTGGTTCAAGTTACATAACATGTTAGCTCCTCTCTAGTCTAACCTAAACATTTTTCAGTCAGAAAATGTGACCATCATAGCGTACCTTACTTCCAGGTTCGTAATAAATATATTGAACAGTAACTGCCTTTTTTGTGCTATTCCACAGGACATCCAGATATTAATTTCTTTCTATTTGTACCCCTTGACATTTATATGTGCTTTCTGCTTTCTCTATTTTTATCTGAATTTAAATCATGACAGAATTTTTTAAAATTTGGATACAAAGGGTGTGTCTACATGAGACATTTACTGCAGAGTAGACTAATTAACTCCTCGGTAAAAGTCTTGGCATCTACATGTGCAGGATTAGGAGGCTGGAGTACACTAATAAACTCTGCAGCAGGCTAGTACTTGTAAATACAAATACTATCCTGCTACAGAGTTTTTTTACTTCGCAGCAGGCCCCATGTAGAGGCTGACCCAGCTGGCTGGGGCACAAAGATACTTCACTGCAGGGGCTGCCTGCTGGCTAGCCGCACACTAAAGCACCCTTGTGCCCCAGCCAGCCCCGCTACAGCACGTTGATCCAGGTTAGAGTAGCCCCGGGCTGGCTGGCTAGTCCCCCAGATCACCTGCCAGCCAGGGCTGCTCCGACCCAGCTCAACTTGCTGCAGTCCCAGGTATACGTGTAAATGCAGCAGCTAGAGTTTATTGCATAGTATTAATATGCATGTGTAGACACACCCAAAGTGTCCAAATTAAGGTTGCATAAGCCAAGTTAATTTTGACATTTCCTAGCTTCAAAATACTTCATTTAGCAACCTTAATTATGTTTTTCTAATGTAATATTTTTAAAAGACACAGACTGAGAAATAGAAATCATATGGGGAAGTATTTTTTATTCCTACAGGGCTCATCAGCGGGGTTGGAACCTTTAGACCTAGTAGGTACATCTACACATTCAATTAGTGCAGCACAATAAATTCTGGCGCAGTTTGTGCCAGTGCTAATGGCTCCTAAGCACAACATCTACATGTATGCCCAGGAGCACACCAGTCTGAGCTGGGGCAAAGCTGCCCCGGGTTGGCAGTAGGGTCAGGGGGTCAGCCCTGGGCTCCGGGTGATGGCATTGGGAGGTGGCTGACTGGGGCATGAGTATGCCCATAGAGAAGAGCTGTTTGGCTAGGCGGCAGGTCTGGCCCCCTGCTGCCTGGGTTGTCTGGGTGCAATTTATGGGCCGGTTAGCATTTACACATGCATTTAGGCACAATTATTTTTACATTTCTCCAACAGTTCTAGCTTTGCTGCAGTCTAATAGTGTTGCACGTGTAGACTGTAACACTTTACACCATAGCAAATTAGTCTGCTGAACAGTTAATCACACATGTAGATGCACCTACTGTACAAATCCTTGCCACTTGAGTTAAGAGTGTCATTGAGAGCAGCAGTACATCATCAATCCACAGGCAGATCAGAACCAGAGAGAATAGGACACACTTCACCAGTAGATTTCATAGATATTTGCTGGCAGCAGAGAATAGTTGGACTTAAGACTCTCGGGTCCCATTTCAGGCTCTAGAAGTGACTCAGGCTTCAGTGATCACAGACTTTTCTGCTTGTTTCTCCGAGGCTTGACCTCTTCTGCCCTTGTCTGTGCCCATCTTCCCCGCCACTGATTTTTGTCCACTCTTAGTCCTCCCTTCTCAATCTTGCCTCAATTCCAGCACTTTCCCCTACTTACATTCAACTACAGTCTCCTCAACCCAGCACAGGTAGTTTCTTCTACTCCTGCGCCTACTCTTTGTAGTATCATTTACAATCAAGTCCTACTTTCCCCCCTTCCAATTATCCTCTCCTCCCTGCTGTGGCTTGTAATCTTCTTCTCCAGGCTCCTCAAATAATTAGTTTCCCCTCCACTTTCATCCCCAGATCCTTAGTCTAGGCTTTTTTGCACAGCCAGTCCTAGATCTCCATCCCACCCTAGCTCCTTGTCAGATCTGCCTTCTTTGTTCTGTCCCTTTACTGATTCCTAGTCTGAGTTTATTCATCCCCATATTCCACTGCTTTATCATTTGACAGATTTCAGGTCTTGACATTTATCTAGGTGGATAATTTCTATTTAAGATGCTCTTCAGCGCTCAGTAGTCAGGCTAATAAGCAACAGATGCTCAAATGGTATAGGTATTATAATATAAATACTGGATTGCATGCTCAGTTTATTATAATACTTACTAAAAATGTTACATAAAGAATTTGTTTCTCCTCTTTGTTTTAAAGATTCCTCAGTGGTGTGCTGAGTATTGCCTTTCTGTCCAGTATCGATATGGAGGGGTAGTCTGCACACAGGTGCACATGCAGACAGCAGTCTGGTTGGCACTACATGTAGCTGATGAGATGGATGTCAACCTTGGCCATGAAGTGGGTTATGTCATCCCATTTGAAAGCTGCTGCACCACTGAAACAATCCTGAGGTTTGTGTAATTGTTAATCCCTCTAACAGTATGCTACAGTTGTTTCTTGCAATGAAGCACCAGAAGTCAAAACCTGGAGTCGTGAAATCTTAGCCACTTACCACGCCACAGCATTATTAAGGAGTGGACAAAGAAGAATATAAGAGCATAAGAACTGCCAATTATTAGTATCCTGTGTCACAGTGGCAGAGTAGATACTGAAAAGGAGAGTGACCAGGGTTTTCCCCTTTTACTTTCCCATTTGCAGCCTTCAGCATTTAAGGTCTAGACAGATCTGATTCAGAGGTTGTACCCCTAACTCCTATGTTTGGGAAAATTTGTTCAATTTTGAATCTTGCTAAACTGTCAGTTTCCACAATATCTTGTGGCAGTGAGATCCTCACTTGAATTACACACTGCGTGAAAAAGAGTTTCCTTTTGTTTGTTTTAAAATTACTAATTGGCTGGTCATACATAGGGGTAGGAATACAAAAAAACCCATAAAACTCTATCATGAAGAAACAAAGCAAAGAAAATACCACTATATTAAAAGCAATAATAATTACACACATGATAATGAGAAAAAAAAAGGTGGGTGGTAAAAGATACTTGGTAACATGGGGAAAGCTGAATTTGGAGGAGGGGTTTCAGATAAAGCAAGAAAATATGTTAACTATATATAGGCTTTAATAACACAATTTAGCTTTTGATTTTGAACTAACGCAAAGTTTGGGGGAGTTTTTACTAGGGAGCTCCATTCGTTTCCCTGATTAAAATAGCAACAATATGTAAAATGGAGATCTCAATTCATGCTCTCTGCCACCACCATTCCCAATAATGTCAGTGGGTGCTCACTATTTCCAAAACCAGACCTAGGAGGACAAGTGCTTAGCTGTTTACCTTGGGTCTCCTTTCCTCACCATCTGTAATTGTGTAATACTCCTTCTGTACAGCACCTTCCTGTAGTTGTGTAGGCAGGCTGCTTAGATCTTCTTCATGGAAATTACATAGTAACAGATACTGAGTCATATTCCAGAAGTTGTCATATCACATATGTAAAAACCTGATCCCAGAAGTGTCACAAAGTCTCCTCGAAACTGTGAACTATTGTAAAAGGAACTGGTTGAAAAGAGTCTGAATAGTATAAAAAATCTGAATTAGCTTGATACTGACACATTTTGTAGTCATGCATCAATTTCCTCATCTAATATGGGAACAATAATAACAACACTTACCTCAAAGATGATATAATGATTAATTACTGTAAACAAGGTGCATAAGGATTTTGAAAGATGAAAAGCAATGTGAGTTTTATGATTTTATGTGACAAACTATTCTGGTTTATGTCTACAGTGTCTTTTCAAGAGAATTGTAACCAGATATTGTAGTTTAGGTTAAGTAACTTGAATGTTTATAACCTTTCTCAGATTTAGAAAAACATCTTATCACAGCCTCACACAAACTAGAATTACCAAATAGATTAAGTTTGTTCTTTACTAATTTTTTAGCAAATGTAGAGAACAATTTCCTCCTGCTGGCAGGAGCATGAAGTAGCTTCTATCAGATAAACTTAATATTAAAAAATAAACGTTGGTTTTCTGTGTTTTATATTTTACAGATACTGTACAGATGACATGTTACAAAGAGAAATGATGTCCATTCCTCTTTTGAGCAGCTATGGGGTCGTCATATTAGATGATGTTCATGAAAGAACAGTTCCAACAGATGTATTAATTGGACTTCTTAAAGGTGTTTTGCTATCAAGACCAGAGCTGAAGTTGGTAATAATTACAGCCCCTCATATGTCCAGCAAACTTCAAGACTATTACAGTAGTGCGCCCCTCATAAGGGTGGAAAACAAACATCACGTAGATGTTGTATACACTTGTACCATTCAAAAAGACCATTTTCTCTCTGCTTTAAGACTGCTCTTTGAGATACATCATACAAAAGAAAGGGGTGATATTGTGGTCTTTCTGGCATGTGAACAAGTAAGTTATTAAATTATTCAAACATCTTTAATGTGAAATGAAACAATCCAGATGTTCTTTAAATTAACTGTAACAATCCTGTTGCTGTGATTTAGCCAAGACACTGAACGTTGCCATAGATACTTTTACCATTAAATTTCTATTTCATACCCAATTCTTTGTAGGCCTTGTAAAGGGCTGCATACTCTCGTTGGTGCATGGTATAAAACATAGCAAAAATAGACAAACTAGGGCCTAAAACCAGAGATGTGGGAGGACATGAGGGTGAATCACTTGCATACTAGTGTTAGACACTATGGAGGATCCTCTGATACCATTCCATGTAAGAGCAACTTGGCAACTGTAGTAGTTGGGGGTACAAAAAAATGACAGTAGAAAGGTGTTCTCATAAGAATTTAAGAACTGCCATTTACTGGCTCACAATAAGGGAGAGAGAACAGAGTATGGATCAGGGTTTTTCCCCTGTTCCTCTCTCACTTGCAGTCTCCAGCATTTAAAATCTAGGAAGTTCTGATTCAGAGACTATGCCATTAACTCCAATGCTCTCTATAGCAAGGTATCCTAGTCTGAAATTTGTCTGTACATTATTTCCATTTGCACTTTTCTCCATGACTGTAAATATCTCAGCCATAGTCACTGTACACAATGAACTAAAAGGCACATACGTTAGGATCTACCCACTGGTCCTGTCCTTCTGCAAAGACGGACATGTTATTTATATTTGGCACCAGTATATCTGAGCCCTGTGCTTCCAGCTTCCTCAATTTCCAGGTAAGCCTAGGAAGCAAACTTTAAGACTCACCAGCCAGCTGGCCTCTAACATAAGCCACCAACCATAACCTGGGAAGCAAGCTGTCAAGAGATAGGGAGACCAGGGTGTCGCTTCCACTCTTTGTTCCAGATCCAGGATCCTGGCAATCCTGGTACAGGCATGCAACTCCATGGTAGCCCTACCACAAAGACTACGCCAAAAGTCAGTGAGCCCCTGGTTTCCAGACTCTGAGGTCAGCATACGTTTTATCATCCTAGCAGTTGGTGGTTGAAAGTGGTTGCTGCTGAACTGACAGCTGCTCTGATTGCAATTATAAGTATAGTTGGCGGCCCTGTTTACTAAACAAAGAAACCAATTTTGTACTAGTCTTTTAAGTTTTTATTTATATATGTTTTGCTTTTCCAAAGCAACAAGTCGAGGCTCAAAATGGCACAACTATAGTGATATATATCCTATATCAACTATACTGGAAATTATTGGATAATCTGATTGCTTCCCAGGTTGCTTCCCAGGTTATGGTTGGTGGCTAATGTTAGAGGTCAGCTGGTTGGTGAGTCTGAAAGTTTGCTTGCTAGGCTTACCTGGAAATTGGGGAAGCTGGAAGCACTGGGCTCAGATATACTGGTGCCAAATATAAATAACATGTCCATCTTTGCAGAAGGACAGGACCAGTGGGTGGATCCTAACTTATGTGCCTTTTAGTTCATTGTGTACAGTGACTAAAGCTGAGAAATTGACAGTCATGGAGAAAAGTGCAAATGGAAATAATGGAAATTATTCATTAATATACACTAATGATTAGTTATTAAGCCATATTTTTGTGCTTCCAACAATTTAATGAAAATCATGGTCATGCATTGCATTGAATGGTTTAATTTAGCTTCCTCCTTTTCCTAACATCTATAAATGTATTTGGCTGGCTCTAGGATATTGCCTTTTCCTTTGTACACAGTTATTTTTCACATTCAGGTGTTAGTAACTCCCATTAAAAAATTATTCAAGTTTATCAATTTGACATTCCTTCCAGTTCCTGCCACGTGTCTTGGTTGCTGACCTCTTCCTTTCATTGCCTTCAAAACCTACAGTAAAACTGTAAAATCCATGTCAGAAACTTCTCTTTTACAACCCCCTCCAACACAGAGTGTTATCCTACCCCGGAGTATTGTGTTTGCTCCTTTTAAGGGAATGGGAGTTTTGCCACTAAATTAATTGTTACCAGGAGTTCATGCCCAGATTTCTCACAAGAAATTAAATAGTTCCTGGTGTATCCAACATATCTGTCAATCTAAAATGTCTGTCAGTCAAACCACTTGTTATCTTTTGCCTCATATGACTCATTTTAAGTTTCAGAATGGTTATTTTAAATGGAAAAAAAAAATAGCTTTTTTCCTTATCTTCCTGAAAGACATGTTTTGCTGTGCTGGTTGCAGGAAAGGGGACAGAATTCTTCATTATAGATAATAACAACTTTGTACAGGACCATATAAATTAATACAGACCACTCTGTAGTATTAGTTTTCATGAAGAATACACACAGAGATGGTTGTACACATCTCTATTAATAATCATGCTTAGTACATCTAGATGCTTTATATCAAAAGGATTTACAACATTAACTAATGCATTCTTACAGAAAAGAAAAGCACTAATATTTCCTTCCTAACAGAGAAAGCATGTCTTCTTCATGCTCTGCTCCACCTGTAATGAATTATTACATCATAATTCACATCCTGTCAGATGTCCTATTGTCTAATTGAAATTTAAGGTTTGGGGTTTTATTCATGGGTTTTAGTTTCTTATCACTTAACTGTCGTCTAACCTGATCAAAGAGATAAATAAAGTTGAAAGTTCAGAAATTAATAAATTAAAGGGATGTTAGCTAGTTGGGTTTGTGAGCTACCCATAGTGTCACAAATTATGTACTACTGGAGCATTTTTATGGAAGTATCTTGTCAACATTGTGATCCTATTTCTGTTTATGCTATAGGTTGACAACCTCACAGTAAAGTACAAACAAACACTCATAGCATACGTGTAATTTTCTAAATAGCATAATGCAACCATACCATATACCACAGTATCTAAACTCCCCTGTTCTGGAAAATACTATGACTGTAAACACTGGGCTTGGGTTACTGGTTCGATTGAAATGAAAAGAAATATGTAAATGTATTTGGATCATACACTTCCTTAATACCATACTTTCTGATATCCAATTTAGGTTTTGGTTTAGGCTTGCATATATTTAAGCTCAAAGGCTTATTTCTCTTTAAACAAAATAAATTCAAAGGAAAACTGTACAGCTTTATGCCAAGGGAGCAGGTGGGACACTAGTTCTGTGATGTTGCTCTTGTTGTTGTTATTACAATTATTATTAATAAGAACTCTTTTTTAAAGTGTTCCTGTGGTCACTGCACTTGAAGTTTTGGTACTTTTGTGCTCCCTTTTGAAGGAAAACTTTAAAAATATGTAGTCTTTGAAACATGTAAATGGCATTGGCCGGTTGCCAAAAATGGCTTTCCTTGGATGAGGATCATCTGGGCCTGCTGACTTAAACACGTCCAGCCCCTCTAAATGCCCTTTCAGTGCTAACTGTTGGTGGATTGGAGTCCCTCTTGTGCCTGTCTATAGTCCCTTTGGGAGATATGTCTTTATCCATATTTAGGAATACAGATGCAAAGAACTTGTTTAGGAGTTCAGCTTTGTCCCTCCTTTGAGCTCAGCTTTGTACCCCTTTCCGAGTATGTATCATACATACTCAGAAAGTTTACCACTGGCCTTATGCAGCGATGAATACAGGATCTATAATACAAAGCCATTCATAAGGTTTAGAGTCCATATTCAACCATTCAACTCCAAGAACCGC